ATTGTGGGGCTGGCGCGGGATCGGGCAGTGTTTCGTTCTGCTGTGCATGGGGTCGCTATGAGTCGGAAACGACTCGACGGCACTTAACAACAACAAACAACAGAAAGAATATTGGACAGAAGCATAGAAACATAGGGAAGAAGATCTAAAATTAGATACTATGAGGTGGAAGCTTTGTATAACCCCACTTAGAAAATACTAATAGTAGTTTCATTGTTTCTTTATTGCCATAAAGGCCATTTGCTTAATCATTAAGCACCTACATTATGCCAGCAGTGTGCCTTATATTAGAGGTACACAGGCTCCATAACCATAGAACCATGGAAGACAGATTCAGAAATAAATCAGTATATAAGTGGGGCTAGTAGTTCACTGGACAAGGAAAAGGGAAAGACTATAAAGAAGAAATGAAGTTATAATTCATTTAACTCTTTATATATAATTCATTTGATAAAATCTATGGGTTCTTTGATTTATTTTAGGTGTATTTAGAAATACTAGCATTTTAACTTTCTTTTGGTTTGAAAATTTTTATGTAATCATGGTGTGCATTGGGATAAAATTATAGTTTCCTAGTACAGAATGGAATTCATGAGGCAGTGCTGACATTTAAAAGTTTTAATCTGTGGTAGCCTTGTTTAAATTGTTTGCTTTTCTTTTTAAAAAATATACCACTAGATCTAGTACTGCTGTGGTTGGAGGTTGAAATTCTGTGGCATAAACTGCTGGTGCTGTGAGACAACTTCGTTTTAATGGGCCTCCATCTGCTGATGTGGCACATCTCATAATGAGAAGAAACAGTTGCAAACATCCATTAATAATTGGAACATGGAATGTGCAAAGTATGAATTTAGGAAAATCAGAAGTTGTTATAAATGAAATGTAATGCATAAAGATCGATATCTTCAACATTAGTGAGCTGAAATGGACTGGTTTTGGCCATTTTAAATCAGTCAGTCATATGCCGGGCATGGAACTTAAAGAAGAATGGCGTGGCATTTGTAGTCACAAAGCATGTATCAAGATCTATCCTGAAGTACAATGCTGTCAGTGATAGGATAATATCTGTACGCTTACGAGGAAAGTCAGTTAATATTACTGTTACTCAAATTTATGCACCAACCACCAAAGCTAAAAATGAGGAAATTGAAGATTTTTACCAACTTCTGCTGTCTGAAATTGTCCGAACATGCAATCAAGATGTGTTAATTATCACTGGGGATTGGAATGCAAAAGTTGGAAACAAAGAAGAATCACGGGTAGTTGGAAAATATGGCCTTGGTGACAGAAATACCTCTGGAGATGGCATGATAGAATTTTGCAAGACCAACGACTTACTCATTGCATATACCTTTTTACAACAACATGAGCAATGCCTATACCCATGGACTTCACCAGATGGAGTACAGAGGAATCAGATTTACTACATCTGCAGCAAGAGGTGATGGAGAAGATTATTATCTTCAGCCAGAACAAGCCCAGGAGTTGATTGTGGAACAGACCATCAACTGCTCACATGCAAGTTCAACTTGAAGTTGATGACAGTTAAGTCCATGAGAGCCAAAATCTGACCTTGATTATATCCCTCCTGAATTTAGAGAGCATCTAAAGAATAGATTTGAGGCATTGAGTGCCCGTGACCAAAAACCAGAGGAATTGTGGGATGACATCAAGAACATCATCCATGAAGAGAGCAAAAGGTCTTAAAAGACAGGAAAGGAAGAAAAGACCAAAACAGAAGTCAGAAGAGACTCTGAAATTTGCCCTTGAACGGAGAGTAGCTAAAACAAATGGAAGAAATGACCAGATAAAAGAGCTGAACAGAAGATTTCAAAGAGCAACCCAAGGAGACAAAGTCAGTTATTATAATGAAATGTATAAAGACATGGAGTTGGGAAGCCAAAAGAGAAGACCATGCTCGCCATTTCTCAGATTCAAAGAACTGAGAAAAAATACTTTAAGCTTCGAATTGAGATATTGAAAGATTTTATGGACAATATGTTGAATGAAAATGATGCAGGAAACATCAAAGAACATGGATGGAGTACTCAGAGTCATTGTACCAAAAAGAATTGAGGGATGATCATCCATTTCAGAAGGTGGCATATTATCAAGAACCAATGGTACTGAAGGAAGAGGTTGAAGCTGCATTGAGGGAATTGACGGAATACCCATTGAGATGTTTCAACAAATGGATGCTGTGATGGAGGCATTCAGTCGGCTATGCCAAGAGATTTGGAAGACAGCTACCTGGCCAACTGACTAGAAGAAATCCATATTTGTACCCATTCCAAAGAAAGGTGATCCCACAGAATGTGGAAATCAATGAACAATATCATTACTATCACACACAAGTAAAATCTTGTTGTTGTTATATACTGATAAGTTGGACCCAACTCATAGCGACCCTCCTTGGGTTTCCGAGGCTGTATCACTATTTAAGTAGATTGTCCATCCTTCCTTCTGAGGAGTGGCTGGTGGGTTTGAACTGCTTGCCTTCTGGTTAGCAGTCAAGTGCCTTAGCCAGTACGCTACCAGAGCTCCTAAAGAAAATCTTACTGAAGATAATTCAAAAACAGTTACAGCAGAATATTGCCAGAGAACTTCCAGAAATGCAAGCTGGATTCAGAAGAAGACATGGAAAAAGGGATATAGTACCTGATGTCAGATGGATCTTGGCTGAAAGCAAAGAATATCAGAACGATTACTTGTGTTTTATTGACTATGCAAAGGCATTTGATTGTGTGAGTCATAACAATTGTGGATAACATTGAGAAGAATGGGAATTCCAGAATACTTAATTGTACTCATGAGGAACCTGTACATAGACCAGGAGGCTGTCTGAACGACAGTTCGAACAGAACAAGGGGATACTGCATGATTTAAAATCAGTAAAGGAGTGTGTCAAAGTTGTGTCTTTTCACCATAGTTATTCAATCTGTATGCTGAGCAGATAATCTGAGAAGCTGGACTATATGAAGAAGAGCATGGGATCAGGATTGTAGGAAGGCTCATTAACAATCTGAGATAGGCTGACGACACAACTCTGCTTGCTGCAAGCGAAGATGACTTGGAGCACTTACTGATGAAGATTAAAGACTACACTCTATAGATTATACCGTAATATAAAAGCAAAAATTCTCATAACTGGACCAATAAGTAGCATCACGATAAATGGAGAAAAGATTGAAGTTGTCAGAGACTTCATATTACTTGGTTCTACAATCAACACCAGTGGAAGCAGCAGTCATGACATTAGAAGATGTATTGCATTGGGCAAATCTGTTGCAATAGACCTCTTTCAGGTGCTGAAGAGCAAAAATATCTCCTTGAAGACTAAGGTGCGCCTGACACAAGCCATGGTATTTTCAGTCGCCTCATATGCATGTGAGAGGTACAGAGTGATTAAGGAAGACCGAAGAAGAGTTGATACTTTTGAGTTGTGATGTTGGCGAAGAATGCTGACAGTACCATGGACAGCTAAAAATACTAAGAAATCTATCCTGGAAGAAGTGCAGCCAGAATGCTTCTTGGAAGTGAGAATGGCCAGACTGTGTCTCACCTACTTTGATCATGTTATCAGAAGGGACCATTCTCTGGAGGAGGATGTCATGCTTGGTACAATGGAGGGTCAGTGAAAAAGGGGAGGGCCCTCAACAGGATGGATTGACACAGTGGTGGCAGCAGTGGGCTCAGGTATAGTAGGGATCATGGCACAGGACTGGGTAGTGTTTCGTTCTGTTGTACATGAGGTCACTATGAGTTGGAGAAGACATGACGGGACATAACTAACAAACATAATAGTATAGGAATAGAGTAATGCAAATGGTGGTTCTTGTAGGAAAAGCAGTATTTAGTTTAAATTCTAATTTTTATATATGAATAACAGGATACAAGATGAAATTTAAGTAGCCATTGTAAGGTCTTTATATTTGGCTTTAAATACAAAAATAAGTTTAGCAGCAGTCAGTCATTCTTTCACTTACTCTGGTATGGTTTTTGTAATGAACCATAATCTTAAGTCATTCTTTGATGCAGCAGTAATACACTTGAGTTGCTTTCACTCTTGAGTCTTTCTTCAAAGACAGTATGAACATGTTTGCATCATTTTGGAATTGACTGAGAGCGTTTTAGCCCATAAAAGATCAGGACACCATTGTTAAAAGAAAACTAGATTTGTCAATTAAATTCAGCAAACACTTCTTGAGTGTTTACTATATGCCAGTAACTGCCCTTACTTCTGAAGGGCAAATGAAAAATACACGTGCCTTTAAGAAACTGAAGACAAATGGCAGCTTGGTTTTTGATCAGTGCAGTCAGTTTTACTCTTAAATTTTTGTCTTATTTGGAGTGTTACCAAGATCACTGTCTCTTTCTGATTCAGTAACATTACCTTCAAAATAGTAGAATTCTCTTTTTTCCCCAGAGAGACATTGAAAGATTATCTACATAAAGCAACTTTTATTTCTGTAATTTTTATTTCCAATTAAGGCAAATCTCACTGTATTCTTATTTAATATACTTATTGTTAGGTATAAATTGTATGAGGAATTTAGGACATTCAAAAAAATTTCCTTATCAACACTGAAAATATTTGTACAGTATTAAAGTTTATGATAATAGTAAAGCCATAATATTTCTAATAATTTTAGAGTTTCTACCATTTTTTTCTTTTTAAAAATTCGATTTGATCTGAGAGGAGCCCTGGTGCTGCTGTCGTTAATGGTTTGGCTGCCAACCAAAGGATCACCTGTTCATACCCACCCCTGGCTTCACAGAGAAAGATATGGTAGTCTGCTTCTGTAAAGATTATAGCCTCTGAAATCCTATGGGGCAATTCTGCTCTGTCCTGGTGGTTCATTTTGAGTTGTAAACAACTCCACAGCAGTGGGTTTGGTTTTTTGGTTTTGGTATTTGACCTTTTTTATGTAGACTATAAATCTCACATGGAAACTGTAGTAAGACTTTGCTATTCGTATCTTCTAGGTACTCATACCCATTCTTTGGAAGTGCAGCTCCCATAATGACTAATCCTCCTGTAGAAGTTCGCAAAAACATGGAAGTGTTTCTACCCCAATCTTACTGTGCATTTGATTTTGCAACTGTGCCTCATCAATTGCAAGACACCTTCCTAAGGTAATGTATATACTGTGTTTATGAAATTAATTATTTTCCTAAGTTTCAGCTCTTGAAATTGTATGTATTAAAAAGAGGAATGCCTATAGGTTTAAATCCAAATCAGCTTATGCATTTGATATTCAAAAGAAGAAATTTACTAATAAAGTCTGTGATATTTAGTGCTTTCACTATAGAGTTTTATGTGGCTAAGAAGGCTCTTTTCATAGTTCCATCTTAGGATTTGCTTGAATTTGGATATTTGAACTTTGTGAAAACAGAATCTATGAGTAATAAGGTAGTCTTTCCTGTTCGTAATATATGAAGATAAATTACTATGAACTAAACATTGTTGCTGTTCCACTGAATAATTGTAGTATATTGTTTGTATTTTCTAAATTTTCCATTTATAAACTAAAATGGTAACCCAGCTATCTGAAATGGGTTTGCGAATGAAAAATGAAATTGGAAATGTCTTTTTTCTTTCTCAGCATTACAATTTGAATCTATATATTATTTTAAAAGAAAAAACTGAAGGGTAAAAAAAAAGGTTTAACTATTTGTGGGAATGATGGCGTTTATTTTTTATTGTGATTTGGGTGAAAGTTTACAGAGCAAATTGACTTTCCATACAGCAGCTCACATACACTTTGTCTCATGACATTGACTACAATTTACGACAGTGCAACAGCTCCCCTCCCACTTGCTCCCCATAGTTACCTCTTCCCTATGTCCTTCTGTCCATGTACTCCTGCCCCCGAGTTATGTCCCTGTGCATACACAGCCCTTCTATTCTCCCATGATTGTTCTCTCCAAGGAGTGTACTAACCTAGTGTAAATGTTCACCTCATATGCCTGTCTTTTGTTTGGCTGGAAGCCACAGGTGTGGGTTCAGTTCCAGACCTGCTATACTTGAGCCCATCATCGCAGCCACCGTGTAAGTCCATCTCATTGAAGGCCTCCCCCTCTTTCGTCGACCCACCACTCTACCAAGCATGACATCCTTCTCCAGGGAATGGTTCCTTCT